TGTGGAGGTGGCTGATGCTGGTGTGGGTGTGGGGATTTCAGGGCCTGGCCCTGCTCAGGCCTTTTGGCGGGTGCTTTCTAACCTGGCCGCTCTCACTGAGGACCTGAGCGTGGTGGCACGGCAGTCCCTGTGCTCAGCTGCATAGGATGTTGCCAGGGTCCCCCAGCCCATATGTGGGGTGGCTTTTGCGGCTTTGGACTGTGACCAAAACTCCCCGTCCCACTTCTTTTGCTCCTGAAGGTCCTGGGAGCGAGCAGGGCATTGCCGTGCTGCTGCTGTGCTGCTCTTAAGGGGACCCTGGGGTTGGGGGACAGCTTCCACCGCTGCATCCCAGGCACTGACTTGCGCCACATTCCCGCACCAATCCTGCTGTCGGCTCTCCTTGCTCCAAGCCCAGTCCCATCCCGCCTCCCAGGACCGAGCTGTTGATCCACGCGTGGCCCTGGAGCAACCTTGGGGCAGGGACAGGAAGGGGGGGATGAAGCAGTGGCAGTTTTGGGGTATGGTGGGGACTTTGCTGGGAGCAGGCAGGCTCAAAGACCCCCCCAGAAGAACCAATGCCCAGAGGTGCAGAGATAGAGAAGTTTATCCCACGTGGAGTTACAGCCTCGTTAGGGTCGGTGTCACTAACGAGTTACTGCCTCCCTCACGTGGATGGGAGGGGAGTCAGAGCATGGTGAAGCCATCCTGGTGGGATGCTGTCCTGGTGGGATGCTGTCCTGGTGGGATGCTGTCCTGGTGATGCTCCTTGCCGTCATCCCATGGCAGCATGTGGGTGAAGCAGTGTCCTGGTGTCACTGATCTGAACAGAGGGTTTGGGGGTGGCTGCGGGGATGCCATCCCGAAAATCCCGAGCGCTCTCAGGGAAGTATCTCTCCAGCCCCAGATGGAGGGTGCTGTGCCTGCCGCAGGGAGCCCTGGCACTGCCTTCCCTAAAACACCCCCAAACTGGGGCACCTGCTGAATGTCTTGGCCATGGGCATCGCTGCCAACACTCACCCATTGCTTCCCAGCACAGAAACAGGGCAATTCCCAGTGACCACGGGTGAATCTGGGGCCAGATTCCCAATGCTGACACGTCCATGTGGCTCCTGGTGGCATTGTCCTGGGTTGCCGCCAGCGTAGCAGGAGCCGAGCTTGGCCCTGAGTCCCTGCTGCCACTGCCGTGGCCCAAGGCCGTGACGCAGACGTGGAGGCCCCACTCAGCGCTCGGTCCCTTCCCATCTGGCAGCAGCAGAGCCAGGCCAGGCTGCGGCGCGGTGGCCGGCAAGGTGAAGGGGATGGTGGCTGGGGACATGCAGACTATGAGGACGTCTTACCCCCAAGCACCCTGCGACTTTGCATGGCCTGTGCATCAGCGTGAGCCTGGGATAAAATGGGCGAATCAATGGTTTTTGTTAATCCTTATATGCTGAACCCTGATATTGCTGGATTAATAGAATTTTTCCCATTCTTTTTCTCTTTAAACCACCCCAAGATACACATGAGTACCCATCCTTCGTGTGCTGGGAGCTGGTAACAGCATCCCACGATGCATCATCCTTCCCTTGGGATGAGTACCACTGCCTCAGCCCGGCTTCAGTGGCAGCTGGGAGGATTTTAGGTCTTGCTTCCAGCTCAGGACAGGCTCCAGCGGAAACCAAGGCAGCGGCTGGCACCAAAACGCTGATCAGCACTGCCCAGGGTGGGACTCGGGGCTGGTTTGCTTCCTATGGGGCTTTATTCCCCATCTGAGCATGGCAGCTTGGCTTTGCAGCTCTGAAGTTGGGGTTCGGGGTACAAAAATGGAAGTGGGGCGCTGCTCCCCACGGGTTTGCCAGAGGTAGAAGCGAGAAGGCAAAGTTGCTCGGTGGTGGGTGATTTTTCTGGCTGTGCTGTGCCATGTTGACCCCCGGCGGGGTCAGACCCCCTCCCCATTTCGAAGTGTGGACTCCCAGAAACCCACAAGTGGCTCCAAGGGTGACCCTGGGATGAGGGGACCATCCTGGGATGCTTTTGGCTGCTGTAGGTGAGGTTAGGGAAGAGCCGTGGTCGTTTCCAAGCTTTCACAGGTCACAGTCATGGAAGCCACTGTCCCGGCCCTGGGATTCTCACTGCCCGAGCATGTGGATTCTCTGGTGTCTGATACCACAGGTGAGCGCAGCACACTTGTCCCTGGGCCATGTCCATCCTGGGATGCTGGGTTGAGCCATTTTGGCCCCTGTGCTCCCGGAGAGAGCCCAAGGGACCATTTATTGGTGCTTGAAATAAATGATGTGCAGAACCAGAGACAGTACACAAGCCCATCAGGGCCTGGAAAGAGCCCTGAGAGGGGAAATACAACTGTGGCGAGGAATTCCCAGCCTGAGGGTGCTCCAGGTGGCTCTGGAATAATGAGCCCATTGGTAGGAATCAGAGAAGAGTCGCTCTGGTTGGGGGTATGCGCTGTGGGAAAGCATCTGCCACGTCCGGGAGTATTTGAAGGTGCAAATATGTGGAGGCACCCGGCGCAGGGATGTCCTGATCCCGCTGTGCCGAGCAGGACGAGCGTCCCAGCAGGTGTGGGCTCCTTCTCGATGGCTCCCTGCATGGCCCAGCCAGGCCAAGGTTGGTGGACTCCCGCTCTTGCAGGTGGATTTTCCATCGCCTCTCCCTGGTCTCCCGGCAGGGCCTGGTGCCTGACGTCAGGGTGGGCGCAGGGCACTGTGCCGGGGGGGTGCAGCCCCCTTCCTGCTCCTTGGAGACCGGCTGCTTCGCTCCCCGCTGCCTGCTGCGGGGAGGACTTGGATGCTGGTCACTGTGCTGGGTTTCGGGGTGAGCATCTGTGAGGGGAAATCCTGCTTGGGGAGGCTGGAAAATCTCCATCGGGGTGCAGATGGGGGAGAAGGGGACAGGGTTTGTGTAGGGGCAGGGGGGGTCCAGCCCTGGATGACCCCAGCTGCTCACTGGGGTCCCCCCAAGGTCCCAGCAGCAGGGATCTTCAGCCTTGGGGAGGAGATGAAGGGCACCCAGGAGCCCCTCACCAAAGGGAAGGGGCTCCTTCATGGCTTTACCCCCTCTTACCGGAGCATCACACCTTTCCTTACCCCCCTACCCCAGTGCTGAAGCAGGGACAGGTGCTTGAAAACGTGCAAAAGCCAAGCCCCAGCTCCAGGGCCCCCCTGCAGCCCTAGTCCCCCCTGGCAGCATCAGTTTCCCAGATGAGTAAGCTGTGGCACAGAAAAGCTGAGGAGGGGAAGGAGGAGTGTGAGACAGGAGCAGGCCTCATCTGTGGAGTAGCATTTGCCAAAATCTCAGTACCGAGCGTTGGCGCGAGGTGAGCAAGGGCATCTCCGCAGGCGCAGGATGGAGCATGGGGCTATCTCGGTCGCTTTCCAGCCCTGCTGGCAAAGCACTCGGCGAAACCAGAAATGCTTTTGGGCTTGGCAGAACCATGGGCCAGAGCATCAGCCCATGTCTGGGGCATGGGGGTCCCCCCTGGGCCTTTGTTTGTGCTAACAGTGACCCCTCCAGCCTCTCAGGAGTGAATTTCCCCACCTGGAGCCTGGAAATTAAAAGTGCATCCCTCTGCTTGCCCTACCCTTTCCCTGTTCCCAGCTCCCAGTCTCTGCGTGGTGGTGGGGCTGCCCCGCTCCCCATCCCAGTATCCTGATTTTAGTACTGGAGCAGCCGTGATGGCTTTGTCATCGCCTTTGGTTCTCCCTGGGCTCTCAACCTGGGGGGGCAGAGCAAGGGAAGATGGAAGTGAGTTTTTAGGGGGGTTATAATGGTGTTTTGCTGTGGTTTTGTGTGGGAAAGTGGCTTTTTTGGGGGGCAGTAGCTGCCTCTGTGCATTCGAGGTGCCCGCTGCTGTTTCCCTCCAAGGGGCTGGAGGTGTTCAGGATGGAGGCTGACCCCAAAATCTTTCCGTTTTCTTCCAGAGCAGCGGTGGGAGCAGGTTACCCACTTTCTTTTGGGTATTAATCTTCAGTAATTAATCTCCATGGCCATTGGCCAGGTCGGGAGAAGCCACCTGGTTGGGGTGTCCGGCAGAGCTGTCACCCACTGGGGGTGATGCTGGTGTGACATCGCGGTGGGGGCTTCCCTTTGCCAGGGGATGGGGACCACCAGCCTCTGCTGTGCCTGCGCTGCCTGGCCCGCCCTTGGGCAGCAAGAAGGGGGCTGGTTTTGCATATTTTGCACATCTCTGGGTGCACCAGCTCACCCTAACCACGACGGGTGGGCACAGAGGGGCCAATTTTCCCTCCCTCTGCTCACACGTATCCCATCACACCGACCCCCATGGCCATCACCGCTGGGTGCCACCAAGGGAAGGGACTGGGAGAAATGGGGAAGCTCTCCCAAACCCCACAGTGGGGAGTCCAAACCATCATATATTTTACTACTCTATTTTTGGGGTGTATGGACAGCGTCATGCGGTGCTACCGGTGGCAGGGAATCACCCAGCTGGGAAAGCAGGAGCAGGAAATCCCAGCAGGTTTCCAGCTCTGCTCTACATTTCTGAGAAAGGAGGCTGAGCGCTCAGCCTCATCTTTATTTTGGGAGCTGTCGGGCTGTGGTTACCAACGCAGCGTCTTTGTCCTCGCAGTGGGAGGGTTTTGGTGGGGGGATGTGGTTGGTGAAGGGATGGGGCCATGGTCAAGCAATGAGGGGTCGGTGGCTGCGGTGCCGAGGCTGCTCCCCAAGGGGATGCTCAGGGGTTGCTCGGATTTGCACCGAGCCTGGGTACAAGAGAGGGGATGACATCCTCTGGGTGCTGGGAGGGACTGGTGGTATTGGGGTGTGGAAGAAGTGGTGCCTGGGGGTCCCCTGCTCTCTCCTGGGGTCCCCACCCTGAGCAAGACCCCAGCACACCAGATTGGGGTTAAACAAGCTGAGAAAGGGCTTTTTTTTTGGGGGGGAAGGTGCCTCTCCTTGGGCACCCAGCTTGTTGCCAAAGGGGTTCTCGGCTGCAGAAGCTTGGCAGCAGGTAATGGGGAGGGAAATAGGGGATCCCACGGGGCTTTTGCCTTTTCTTCCAGAGCAAATTGGTGAAGTACTTCAGCCGGCAGCTGTCCTGCAAGAGGAAGGTGGCCCTGCAGGAGCGCAACGCCAAGCTGGAGGGCTTCCCCCAGCTCCTGCACTGGTTCCGCATCGTCGACATCCGCAAGGAGGTGATGGAGGTGAGGGCTGGGCATTGGGTTTGGGTGCCAAATCTCTCTGCCATGGTTTTTCTTTTTGATCTTTGAGCAAAACTAGGCAAGGGGACAATTTTTTTCTGACGTAGACTGGCTTGACACCATGGATCCTCCTCCACCCACCCCTTTCACTGCTGTTCCCAGTGAAGGACATGGGTGCTGGGAGGACCTTGTGGGTGCTGCGCCCCCACAGCAGGGTTCCCCATGTCCCTGTCACGGCATGGTGGTGCCACAGCAGGGCACAGCATCCTCTGCCACGTCCTGGGCTCCTGCGGGCCATAGGTGCAGTGAGGGGCTGGCACCCAGAGGTGCTTTCATAGCAGCCCCCCCGGAAGAGGAAAGGCTGTACCAGGGCTGCCAGTCCCTGCTTGTGCTCGAGGCAGGTTTTCATGGTGTCCCCAGATGTCTCAGTGTTGAACTGGGTCTGGATATGCCTCGGAATGTGCAAATACTCAAAGCTGAGGCTTGAGCTGTGTCCTCCAGGTTTTCATGTAGATTGAGATGGAAAATGAGTGGTTTTGGGGCTGTGACGCAAATGGGGCAGCAGAAAGGGGATGCTCCAGGCTGTTTTCTTCCTCCTTCCTCTCACCCCTGCCCTATTCATCTCTTCCAGGAGATCGCCCCCGGGCAGCTGAGCCTGGAGGAGCTGCTGGAGATGACGGATGAGCAGGTCTGTGCCACTGTCGAGAAGTTTGGGGCCAACAGCGAGGAGTGCGCCCGCCTCAACGCCTCCCTCTCCTGCCTCCGCAGCGTCCACAAGTCCGGTGAGTCGGGTCCCCTGCAGCTGCTCGGGGTGGGTGGCAGCATCCTACGGTGACACCAGGAGTGTGGCTTTAATCAAGAATTGTTATGGTTGGAAAAGACCTTGAAGATCAAGTCCAACTGATATCTGACCCTACCGTGCCACTTCTGAACCATGTCCCTGAGCACCATATCTAGATGGCTTTTAAATACATCCAAGGATGGCAACTCCATCATTTCCTGGGCAGCCTCTTCCAGTCTTTGATAACCCTTTCAGTGTAGAAAGTTTTACTAATATCCAACCTAACCCTCCCTGGTGCACCTTGACGCTGTTTCCTCTTCCTATTGGTTGTAACCTGTGAGAAGCGATGCCTTGGATGCATTTGCAGAGTCTGGATTGCAGAGCTCCTGCATCCCTGGGCAACAGCCGGGTCCTCGCTGCCCGTGGGGTTGTGTTTGGTCTGGTGTGGGGACTCGCCTTGCTGGATGTGATGAGTTGTTGGTTCTCTGCAGGGATGCTTCAGCCCCGGGCGCGGGTGCTGGGCTAGCGGGTCCCCGGGCGGTGGCAGCAGAGCTCCGTGCTGCAGCGAGCGGGGATCCTCTGCTTTTATCTGGGCTGGCAGGGCTGGGGGCTGCACCCGTGGCCAGGTTTGCCTGGGGAAGGGGTGAGCGATCCTGGGGGTAGGGCACAGGGCAGGGTCTGGCTCTCCTTGGCACCTTGTCCCAAGCCAGTGGGACAATGTGTCCTGGCATGGGCAATGTGTCTGGGGATGAGGGATCCCTTCCTGGGGCTGCTGTGAGCAGGGTCTGGCCTGGGGGTGAGTTGGGGGAAGGGGAGGTTCCCTTTTGGAGGAACTGGGGGGAATGGTGATACCCCATCTCACAGTCTAACCCCTCCCACCTTGCCCCCTTCCTAAGGTCCTGGCCTGGGGTGATGGTGGTGGACTGGTTTAGCTGTGGTCTTTGCTGGGAGTCCTGGCCTGGCAGGACCCATCTCTAGGAGGGCTCACCCTGCCAGATCCTCAGGTTTTGGGGACCCCTCTGCCCAGCTCTGGTCCCCTCCTGGGGGCTTCTTCAGCACATCTGCACCCCAGGGGCTGGGGGAGACGGGGGCTGAGTGAGCCCTGCTGTGTTTTTGGCTTTGCAGGTCCAGAGCAGCCCTAAGGCCAGGGCTGGTGTTGAGGGGGGTGATGTGACCTGGGTTCAATGTGGGACAGCTTTTGGGGACCAGCAGTGTCCCCACGTTGCTATTGCCTGGTGGAGAGTCCCAGCCCCCTGCCCTGGAGGAGTCTTGGCCACATCCACCCATTGTGGTTCCTGTGGTTTCTCCACAGGGGGATGGCTGATCCCAGGCTGACATTTCCTGCCGAGCATGAGTCCCCCACGCTCTTTAACTCCCCAAATCCAGCTCCAGCCTGTGCTCCTGCCCTCCTCCCCTTTGGCATTTTCCCTAAGTCTCCCCGCTATTTGAAGAAGGGCATCGATGCATCGGAACCTGGGAAAGACTCTCAGTCTGCTCTTTATTTAAACCCCTTTGACTTATAAAGCCCATTGCAAACAAATACTGCTTTCCTCGGACCAGCCCCTGCGTCCCCAGCTCCTGCCCTTCTGCTCGCTTGGCCGAGGAAATTCCCCCATGTCCCAGTGGGACCCATGCTTTGGAAAATCCACCGCAGCCTTTGGCTCAGCAGCTGTGGTGAAGATGCTGAAACATCTTCTGCCCCTCCTCTGGGTGCTCGCCGGCAGAGATGGAGGGGAAACTGGGATGCTGTGGGATGCTCGCCGCTCGATTTGCTTTTTAATGGGGCTAGTGATGGGGCTGCCAGCCCTCCCAGTGGGACGTGGCTTGGTGGCTCATTGGGTCCCTGCAGGAGGGAGTTTGCTACTGTCCTGGCCCCAGCGCTCCATTTCACCCCATCCATCACTGCGCTGCTCCCTGGGGGGCTGTGGCTGGGCTGTGCGGCAGGACCTGCTGTTTCATCCCCCCAGCGTCACAGAGATAAAAAAAGCCGGTCCTGCTCCCCTGGGGATGGAGATTCGGGCTCTGCAGTGCAGCGAGTCCAGGTGTTGCCAGCTGGTGTCAATCGAATCTCCCTGAATTTCCAGAGGATTTGGGTGCAGATGGTTGGGTTAGCAGTTGGTCTCCTTGTATCCTGCCCTGCAGAGCTTTGTGTCCCCTGCCTCTGCACTGGTGTCCCCCTGCCTGGCAGAGCCTTTGCTTGGTCAAATGGCCCCATCTCCACAGTATTCCCCCGTGTAACCAGTGATAGGATGAGAGGAAATGGCGTCAAGTTGCACCAGTGGAGGTTTAGATTGAATTTGAGGGAAAAAATCTTTACTGAAAGAGGGTCCAAACACTGGAAGGGTCTGCCCAGGAAAGTGGTGGAGTCACCATCCCTGGAGGGGTTCAAAAAATGTGTAGATGTGGCATCTGGGGACGTGGTTTAGTGGGCATGGTGTGTTGGGGTGATGATCTCAGAGGGCTTTTCCAACCTTTGTGATTCTGTGACTGTTTTTGTCCCTCGGGAGAGACAGAGACGCCCCCAGGCTGGGGTTGGGTGGTGGAACCCGATCATCCCACCCAGCTGCACAGGGCACATGGTCCAGGCAGCGCGTTTTGGTGGGCTGGGGCGACGGGGAACCGGGAGGAGAGTTTCTGGTTCTGTGGCAATGTTCCCAGTGGTACTTGGTGTCCCCTGGGCTCCATCTGATGCCCTACCGACCCTCCGTCGAGGAGGCCCAAAATGACCTCTAGATGTGTTGCCTTGACCCTTGCAGCCCCCTGGAGCTGCGTTGTGCCTGCTGGACCCCACCAGCCGGGTGCTTGGGAGGTTTGCATGGCTCTGAGGAGAGAGATGGGTGCTCAGGGGGTGGGTGCTGGGTGGAGGGGGTTGAAAAGCATCTCAGGGTGGCAGTGATGATCTCTCGGGATGCAGTGCTGGAATCTTGCAGCCCCTCCAGCAGGACCTCCCAACGCTGTGATGGACACGGTGTTTTATCTTGATTTTATCTCCTAAACCAAGAGACCATCCTAGTCTGAAAATATAATTAATGAACAAGTTGCTGCCTCTTTAAAACATCGTGTAATTTCTTTGCAAGTGCGGTAGTGGTTGATTTCTCAAAGCCAAGATTAGTATTAATAAAGCAGCAAT